AGCACAACTAATGTTGATAATATAAGGGGGAGGGGGGGCAAGCAACCTATAATAAAAATTCTACTATTGAAATCAAACCTATATTGCAGTTTTTATTTTTACCCATTGAATTGCCTATTGTCACTAACAACTCAGCTTGATTTTTTTTAGGAAATAATATTAATTTTAATTTAGTATTATTTAATGTCCAGCTGAGTACAAGTGATATTTATAACCATTAACCCCACAGAGGAAGGTGAGTTTTGACATATCATACTAGTTCTTTCTGATGGAAAGAGATTCTGCTTTTAACTGCTGAAATTAAACCATAGAAGGCTCAAGATCTCTTTCCACTACAACATGTTTATTTTCCTTTGCTTGAGTGTCTTTCTGTGCTTGTTTTACAACACTCTGGTTTCCTCTCTCACTCCTGATTTGTCTTGCTGACAAGCCAGGTTCAAGATGGGTTATGGTTTTAAATGCTTCTGCTGCTTATTCATGACCAACAACTGGCCCTTTTGCATTTCCTGCAATAACGTCATTGCAATCATTCACGAGAAACGCTTCCAACGTTTGATATACAAGACTTACTATAAAAATAGCATTTATTATAAAAGATCCTGCTTCTCAATACATGGGAGGGGGGGGGAGCAAGCTATTTAAAGGTTGCGTCCACACAACCATACTTGCAGCCGCAAAGCTATACTAAAAGGGGATGGAGGGTTGATCAGAGTCTGAAGAACAACAGCGAAACCCAGTTCATCCTCTAATCGTGTCTGCCTATGTTCAAGGTACCACACTCAGCATCAAGTTGTTTACCTAAACGCACTACATCTCTAGAGAGAAACTCCGTTTGCCCTATAAAATCACGTCCAGACTTTTCCCTACTACACAGATACCTCAGCCTCTATCTCTAAAGATGTACCGATAACACTTCACTTAAAGAAGCCACTTATGTAAAGATGTCAGGTAGGGGGAGGTTGGGAGCGGGGGGGGGGGGGGTATTGTACATCCCAAATCGTAAAAGCAATGGCAAAAAAATGCAGAACTTTTGTTTCCAGGCGTGCGTTAAAAACAAAGAAATAAAATAGACCCAAGCCATCCAAAAGCAAAGACACCCGCTGCCCCTCGCGAATCTGAACTCTGAAATAACCCACACCGCTCAATTCCTGCAGCCTCGCCCCAGTTCTGCCACCCAGCCCAGCCCAGCCCTGAGTGGGTGTCTTCCTTGATGTCTTTGATACCAAACCCCAGTCCCTGTGCGCAGCCTCACAGACAGAGACACCTCCTCCTCCTCCTCCTCCCCCGTTAGAAACACTAAACAACACACCGAGCGGGCAGCGCGCCGCAAAGCAAGCGGCCCCCTGCCCCCGGCGCTGCCCCGCATCACAGCCCGCTCGGGGAGGTGGGAAACTCTCCCCCTCCGGCTCGCTCAGCCTCGGCTCTCTGGGCCCGGGAGTCACACGGAGCGGGGCTCGTTTTTGTAGGAAGAAGTCGAAGTGAAAAGG